TAAGTCCCAAAAGTAATATTGGTGTTGTAGCCTCCAAACCAGTTGAACTGGCAAAGTTATTGATTTTGACCTTTTTACCTGCCAATTTTCGGTAGTGCTCTGTTTTACATTCACACACACATATTTAGGAGGTGCCCAGTAAAATGTTATTAGACAACTTGACTGAAACAGCTGTTCATTGCCAAAAGACTTGTTAAAGCCACATTGTTTAGAGTTTATGTGCCCCTAGTGGAGGCATATGCTGAGACAAATTGGCAAACAATACCTATCTACATTTTAAACAAACATAAATTCATGCTACCTGCAAAACATGCACAGCCAATTTAAGAACAGAGAATTACTCTCCATCCAGTAGAACAACTATATAACCTGCTGAGCAAATTTGTTCAGGCTTACTGTGAACTTTATATATTCTCTTAGAACAGGGGTAGGCATCTATTTTCTTACTAGAAGATTAAAGTGCTCATTTTTAGGAGGTGATTCCAGTTTTTATTTCCATCAACTACATTAAACAGACAAAATTAAGAAAAAAAAGTTGTACCACCAGCCTCAGACGCCTCAGCAGATGACGCTGTGACAAACATCACTTGCGTCATTCAACTGTGACAAGAAGAATCCCAAGCATTTTAAAATAAAAGACAATTTAGGTAACTCATTTGATTTTTCATAAGTAAACCAGTATGTTGTGATTTTTCTTTGACCTTGTGGGCCAGACAAAACAACTGTACTGTACAAAGCCCAGGTCTGTCATAGAAGCTGCATTTCCAAGCATGTAGTCCTTCCTCCATTGATCTGGGACATGTGAATTTACTGATGGTGTTTCTATTGACTCTAGGTCCTGTCTGAATGGAAGCAGAAGTATGAGGAGTCTCAGTGTGAACTGGAGAGCTCTCAGAAAGAAGCCAGGTCTCTGAGCACTGAGCTTTTCAAACTGAAGAACTCCTATGAGGAGTCTATTGATCATCTGGAGACCATGAAGAGAGAGAACAAGAATCTGCAGGGTAAGATCAACTACTAGGATTGTTGTCCAGGTTTATGGAAGCAGTACATCAGCTTCATTACTGTTCACATGTGTGGTTCATATATGTCAATTGGAATTATTTACTTAAATAGTGTTATTTTGTTATACATCACATTTACATTACATTGCATGTCGGCTATTTCAGAGATCTATTGAGCAACCAACAAAATCTTCAGACCTAAGTTCACAACTTTTCAAAATAAAAGCTCCATGCTTCAGCTTGATATAAAGCTTTGCAACAACAAAGCAAATGTTGTGCTTTTACTTTGATGACAAATTGCCGAATAGGAAATGATTCTATTAATGTTGCTGCCATGGCAGAAATCATCACCTGTGACTGCCATATGTTCGATTTGTGGACTGTTAGCAAACTGCCCCGCACCAACTTACTGCTACTGAGCTCTGGTCGCCTGTTAATTAAAATTTTAACACTGAAGGTAGCACGTGTCCAAATTGCACCAAAGTCAGCACTGCACTTACTCCAGCAATTCACAACAGATAGGTCAAGTTGATTAGATGAACAGTTCACAAGAAATATGTTCCACATGAAGACAGACAATCAGAAAGGCATTTTTAGAATTATTATTTTTTTGAGGCCATCTTATCCAAACTATCTGACATCCCACAGAGGAGATATCTGACCTCACTGAGCAACTTGGTGAGGGTGGTAAGAACATCCACGAATTGGAGAAATTGCGGAAACAACTGGAACAGGAGAAGAATGAGATCCAGTCTGCTCTCGAGGAAGCCGAGGTACAGGACTTCTTCATTGAGTAATAGATTTTATAATTTAACTGTCTGCTGCATTTTAAACCTCTCTACACCCTCCTGTCCACCAGGCCTCCCTTGAGCATGAAGAGGGTAAGATTCTCCGAGCCCAGTTAGAGTTCAATCAAATTAAAGCCGAAATCGAACGCAAACTAGTTGAGAAAGATGAGGAGATGGAACAGAGCAAGAGGAACCTGCAGAGGACCATTGACACCCTGCAGAGCTCCCTTGAAGCTGAGTGTCGCAGCAGGAATGAGGCCATGCGTCTGAAGAAGAAGATGGAGGGAGACCTCAATGAGATGGAGATCCAGCTCAGCCAGGCCAACAGGCAGGCAGCTGAGGCTCAGAAGCAACTCAAATCTGTTCATGCACATTTGAAGGTAAACTAGGGCAAAAAGGTAACATTTTTCTCAAGATATTCTAAGTTCAAACTAGATATAACCTGAATGTGATTGATGTCATCCAATTCAGGATTGCCAAATTCAGCTGAACGAGTCTGTTCGGGCCAATGATGATCTCAAAGAGAACATTGCCATTGTTGAGAGACGCAACAACCTGCTTCAGGCTGAACTGGAGGAACTCCGAGCTGCTCTGGAGCAAACTGAGAGAAGTCGTAAACTTGCTGAGCAAGAGCTGCTGGATGTTAGTGAGAGGGTGCAGCTACTGCACTCACAGGTAAAACTTCATTTATTGCAATTATTTCAATTGAATCACCGATTTCTTTAAATGTATATATACTTTAAAGTATAACTGTTTCTAAAGTGTTGTTATCAACCTTTTCCTCATATCTCAAAAATATATAGAACACTGGCCTGATAAACCAGAAGAAGAAACTTGAGATTGATGCCTCCCAGCTTCAAACTGAAGTGGAGGAAGCAGTGCAGGAGTGTAGAAACGCAGAGGAGAAGGCTAAGAAGGCCATTACTGATGCAGCCATGATGGCAGAGGAGCTGAAGAAAGAGCAGGACACCAGCGCTCACCTGGAGCGTATGAAGAAGAACATGGAGCAAACCATCAAAGACCTGCAGCACCGTCTGGATGAAGCTGAACAGATCGCCTTGAAGGGAGGCAAGAAGCAGGTGCAGAAGCTCGAGGCCAGGGTAAGAGGAATTTTCAAGGACATACCACACATTTCCATAATTACATCTGTTGGGTTACGGTTAACACACTTCCTGAGGACTTTGTTCGGAGCACCAAACTAATACTTTTGCTCTTAAAACAGCATCATTGTTAAAGGCATCCCAAAGGTTCTACTGGAATCACATCTAAGGGCAGACTGGCCATTGGGAGAACTGGTAGTTTTACTGCTGGGCAGCTCAACAGTTGGGCAGACAAACATATATTATAATGAAATGGAGATGAAAAAACTTTGGTGTATCCCTTGAACAAACAGACCGGCAGCATTGTGTGGTTGCTGGTCCAGGTGGGGGGTTATCATTGGTTGTGCCATGAAATGAAAAGGTGGTGCAGTGAAGTTGACCCACATCTGGTGGACAAGGAGGTAACTGAAGTTCACTGAGGTCACTAACGTTTTAATGAGACTAGATTGAGACTTTGACCTCGACATGGATCGTTATCCTGCTGCAAGTGACTATAAGAAGATAGTTAAATGGATGAACACCATTGGTGTCCAGTTTTGGTGAGCTTTTGTCCACTGGACACTTTGGCTGACAGGAGTGGGATCTGACGCTGCTGTTGTAGACCATCCATTTCAAGGTTGGATTTTATTAATTAGAAGACTATATTCTGTTCACCACAGGCGTGGTTAAAAAAACATTCTCCTCTAATCTGTCTCATCAACAAGATTTTACTCACAGAAGTTTCAATTGATTTTTTTTGTTTTTGACTCCATCCTTAAAAAAAATCAGTTGTTTATGACAGTCTCAGGGGATTAGCAATTTCAGACACAAACCAGCCTGTTTGAGACCAACAATCATGTGATGTCTGATGTTTGAATTTATGCACTGAGCTGTAACAACAGCGCACCTGCTCATCCAGCAAACTTCGAACAACATTACAATGCTATTACATTTTTATATCTGGGTACAAATGTGTCTCCGTCAGTCTCTGGTTGGGTTTAAAACCCAAAACAATAAGCCAAGATTGGCTGAAAAGTTCTGTAGTTCTGAAGAGATCACTGGTTATTCTCTCGGGATATATATAATAGAAGTTTCAATGAATGTTTTGATGTTTTCAGGTGAGGGAGCTGGAGACTGAGGTGGAGTCAGAGCAGAAGAAGAGCAGCGAAGCTATAAAGGGAATCCGTAAATATGAAAGACGTATCAAGGAGCTCACATACCAGGTCAGTAATGTTTACCCATGTCACAACCTATATGCACACAGCAACAGGTTGCATAGTTTCAGCCATCCCACACATACTCTATGGTTGTCTTCTTACCAGCTCATATTTGTGTGCAAAGTGATATGTCTCGTAAAGCAGCGTAAAATTAGAATGGTTGTGATGCTCCTTGCTGAATTTGTGAGTTTTTCTCCTATTCCCTTGATTTATCCAGACTGACGAAGACCGCAAGAATGTTGCGCGTCTGCAGGATCTGGTCGACAAACTGCAGCTGAAAGTCAAAGCCTACAAGAGATCTGCTGAGGAGGCTGTGAGTGTGCACTGAAAAGCTGTCTCTCATTTACACTGTTTGCTCAGGGTCTATAAGCTTGAGTTGCAGTTCAATGCCTGTTTATATTATATATATTTTATCAAATCTATTTGTAGATGCTATAATGATAATGAATACACAATTAATTTCTGACAGGAAACATTTCAGCTTCCGCTGTGACTTGTTAAACCAATGCTGTTAGAAGAGACTGTAGTTATTTCTATATGTAGCCGTTTACCCTTTGACTTGATGACAGAAGTCCATCACCTCTTGCAGTTGTATGATGTTGTGCTCTTCATGTTTCTTGAATCTTGTAGGAGGAGCAGGCCAATACTCATCTGACCAAGTTCCGTAAACTGCAGCATGAGCTGGATGAGGCCGAAGAGCGAGCTGACATCGCTGAGTCGCAGGTCAACAAGCTGCGTGCCAAGAGCCGTGACGTGGGCTCAAAGGTAAGAAGCTCCTCTATTCTCTATTCTCCTCTATCCAACACTCTACATATACATAAACATCCTGCCTCCGATACAAAAAAATGTTTTATTCATGATGTATGAATGATAGAACTATTGATCTTTTTTATTGCAAGTAAATAAATCAAACCAGTCGTCGTACAAATCGATTTTATTTGGATGTTTTGTTGGTAGATTGTATTAGTCTACTTTAATAGGTTAGCAGTGCTATAATTTTTTGTCACAGGAGAGGCACCATGATAATGTTAGTTTTTTGTTAGTGACCTGACAAGATCCAAAAGAGAAATAAATGCAGAGCAACTTAAATTTGTATGTTAACTATAATATCATCAGACAGATTTAATTGTTAAAGCAGTAACAGCGTATTAATCCAATCAAATCAATGTTAACAAATGAATAGGTCCAAATAAAGATACCAAACAAAGCTTTGAATGATGGATGATCTTGTGGTTAGTTTTTGCTAATATACAATATGCCCCCCATTGAGTCTACAATTATTGTTAGCAAGCATTAGCTTTCATGGACACACAGCTGCATTTTTGTTAAGCTTCTATTTAAAAGATGAATCTCTTATTAAACAAAATGCAGACTTGGAATCATCTCTTTCAGTTACAAATTAGACAAACAACAAAAACAAAGTCCATAGTCGTGGTGTATTCTCTTCTGTTACCCTTGTTGAAACTTGTTGGTCTTCTGTATATAATCCATGTCTTTGTCTATTCTCTGCTCATTCTTCATCACAGAAAGGGCTGGATGAGGAGTGAAACTCACTGATGGCCACTTAAGAGCTTTGGGATCTGCTGTGCTGTAGTCCCCTTTGTCTCCAAAGTAACTGTAGAATAAAGCAAAGTGTATTTCAATTTTTGCAGAGTCCTCATTTGTTCCAAACAGAAATAATGAATGCTCCATATCGTACAAGACAAGTACACCCTGTCTTATAATGCATAGGGAAAGTGCTCTAATTGCCTTCAGGCACAAAGCCAGTATGACGTGTTTTCGTGTTTTTCAAATTTCAATTGTTTTTTTTTTCTGAATTGTCTGAATATTCACCTTTTTTGGACATAATTGCAATTCTTTAATTTTTACTTTATATCCATTAAATAAGTAAGAATGGATATATTGCAAATATACTTGTATTTCTTCATTGTACCTTAAAGGTACAGTGTGTAGAATTTTGTGAAATCTGGTGTTGAAATTACAAGTTGCAGCTGAACACCCCTCACCTCACCCTCTCCTTCCAAACATGAAAAAGAACCTGTGGTAGCTTCAGTCGTCATAAAAACTCAAAAGGTGTTTAGTTTGTCCAGTCTGGACTAATGTAAAAAACATGGCGGCCTCCGTAGAGAGGGTCCCCTCCCCTTGTAAATATAGAGTATTTAAATATAAAGGGTCTTTTCTGGGCTAAAGAAAACTACAATTCATACAATTTAGATGAAACAAACTATTGAAAACATCATGAGGATTATTCTACATTAAATTTCTGCCAAGAGATAATTTCACCTAAATCTTACACACTGGACCTTTAAAGAATAAATAAAA